TATTCATAGTCTTTTGAACTCACGCGAACGTATATACCATAGCGTACACCGGAAGGCCCGGGGCGCCAAATAGCACCCTGTCAGGGTGCCGGAGGACGCCCGGATTTGATTCACTTAAAGACTATAGTAACCTTTCTTATCCATAGTCTATCGCACTGTTCAAAACAAAATTATGCAGCATAGCGCTCACATGATAGCCCAGGGTGCCAAATCGAACCGTGCAAGGGCGCCGGCGGACGCGCCTGTTTCAATTTAGTGAACAAAAATGATAATACTCCAAGCTTATCCGTAAATGGAAAGAAATAAACATATAGGATTTGTAGGACCTGGCTTATTAAATGTTATTGATTTTAAAAAAAAAATATTGAACAGTATGTTCAGTGTATAGAATAAATAAAAGGCAGTGTTAAAAATACCTAACGACATTGCACTTAATCAATCCCCGCTAATTATGTATTTTTTTTTTTTCTTAACACCAAAAACAAAGTAATAAAATGTAAATTCTTTCTTCTTAAGAATTTTTTTTTTTAAAGGGAAGTAACTGTGCAGTCAATACATTTCCGACACAATTTTAGAAATTTTATAAACGTCGATACACTTTTTAAAAATTTTATGTCGCGTTCATAATTGAAAATTATTCTTCTAAGTAAATAGAGTGAAAATTGTTTTTAAAGACTTTCAATGGTAATTTTTTAACTCGTAAATTTAGACTATGAGCACGATAAAAAATCTAACACTTAAATCCATAGAACTGTCAACGACAAACTTTTTTGCCACACGTTACAGAACTGAGCTTTATATATTAGATATATATATATATATATATATATATATATATATATATATATATATATATATATATATATATTTATTTATTTATTTATTTATGTATTTATTTATTTATATAGGGTCCTCTATAGGAGCACGATTGCTGTGCAACAGGACATGGTCTACTTATTTAGAAATAGAAAAACGTAATATATGTTAAATGATCACATTTTACCATGCAAAATTTAACAATAAACAAATAAAAATGTAGATCTAATTGAAGTTTCAGATAAAAAAATTCATAAAAAACGTTTTAATAACAAGCTTTTATGTAATGATGCACTAAAAAGTAGAAAATAAATTATAGACTACTATTTAAATAACTATAAAGAAAAGCGTGGGTCACTTTAGTATCTATTGGATACCTTTACTAATGTTAAGGAAGACACCCACGCTTTTCTTTATAGTTATTTAAATAGTAGTCTATAATTTATTTTCTACTTTTTAGTGCATCATTACATAAAAGCTTGTTATTAAAACGTTTTTTATGAATTTTTTTTTCAGTACTTTACATGTTTTATCTACAACTAGCCGTCCCGGCCAGGCCCTGCTCTGGCTTCTGTGAAAAACCTTTCCGTTAAAGACCATTACCTGTGTGTTTAGTAATCATCATAAACCCGGCATTGCCCACCCAAACCACAACCAACCAAAACAACAAAACGCAAACATAACGCTAACACAATTAGAAATACAAACGAAAACAAAAACCTAACAACAAACCCAATCACAACCACAAACACCAATACAAACACAAAGAAAAAACAAACGAAAACAAAAACCTAACAACAAACCCAACCACAAACACCAATACCAAAAAAAACACAACGAAAAAGCAAACGAAAACAAACCAAATCCAAACGCAAAACCAACCAAAAACACAAATACAAACCCAAACAAAAAAAAACACAAACAAAAACGAAAAAAGAAAGAACAAAAACGAACCAAATCAAAACGCAACCACTAACGCAAACCCACCTAAACACAAAGAAAACACTAACGCGAACATAAACGCCCGGGGCAGAATCGCCTGTTTTAGCTTAATAAACGACTATAGTACCCCAACTTATTCATAGTTTTTGCACTCACTTAAGGGTAGACACCACGGATAGAATTTTTTTTTTAATTTAACACATTTCTGGGTATTTAATAAGTACATATGTTAGTAGTTGTTAAACTATTGACAAAAATAATATGTGGCCGTCAATAGCAGTACTGGTTGCCATGGGAACCGCGAAAAGGTGTGAAAACTAACACCTTTTCAAATCGCTAAGGCTTTGTTCCCATAAGCAATTTTGTAAAGCGGATGAAAGATTTAGATTTACGAAACCAAACTATACATTTCTACGTTTGTTCATTGCGATAGCTTGTACTCAATTTTTATTACAAATTTTTACGTAAATTTAAGTACAAAAATTAGGGGGTGGTATAACATAAGTATTGATATTTTCTAAAGTATTGTAGTAAACTTAATGTACAAACGTAGTTTTGTAGATGGTATAATGCTAAATGCATGTGGAATGTTTCAGTGCTGTAAGACTAAGGGTTCCAAAGCCTTAGCGATTTGAATGTTGAATTTTGAGTAAAAATGCAAAGTTGAGAAAACGTGAAAAGAAAGGCAGAAAAAGGCACTGTGCGTTTCCTCTTATAGCAAACAGAAAATGACTTCTTGTTATGTGTGGAAGAACCATTTGGCTAATAAAATACGCGTTGATTAATGTTGTAAGTTTTAGATAGATTTTTCTGCGTAAGCAGAAAATATGCATACAACAGATAATAAATTAATGACTGTTAAGTCTTAAACATCCTATCATTTGATTGTTATTCTCAGAACAGCTATCATCAAACCAGATTAAGTTTTGTTTGTTAGCCGGTCTTCTCACACGTCAATAGAATGTCTATTGTAGCTTACACAAGTTTATTGCCTTATGATAATAGCCTACTACACAACGCTGGGTACAACGCTTGAGGTTAGACACGCCCCTTCACCCCACCCCACCGCTGGATAGTGCGTGAAGAACCGATGAGCCATAGATTACCAATGTTCATTCAACCGTGAATAACACGTCTGTGTAGATAGGGTCAAGTACAAGGCCTAAGTGAATGCTTATCAGCTATCCCATCTAGTATTTCCATTCGTTGCTAGCAAACCCTGTACGGAGAGATGGGCGGGCATACACATTAACACATGTGTCGTATACAGTCCGGTGTAAAGCCTGATGAACGCGTTCAAGCCTATCACAGCATTCCGTAACAAGATTATAAAACAGCCGTTGGTTGAATGGCGAGAAGGGGATGAGGGGGATAAAGGGGATGGACTTAGTACATTCTTCAAACTGATAGACATGTCCATGACGCATTGTTTCAGCTTAGTATAATAAAGCGTACGAAACAGTGTTTAATAGTGTTCCAGTGACAATCAACAGAACATTTGTTGGTAAAGTTTCAATTATTAAACTTAATGTTGTTCTATAACTTTAAAACAACAAATAGAAGAGTATACGCTAATGATGTAAACAAACAAGACAGGTGATTGTTTTGTTTATCTAGAAACAAGATGGCTGCCTAGCACACGTGGTTAGTTGCAACCTATCGCAGATTATTTTGATTTACTGTACTATTGTATGATTGGTCAAACGTATCAATGAATCTCTTCCCATTCATAATTTTTACGCACATGCCCATATATGGACTTTGACATCAAATTTTACTTGGTAGAAAACAACGTTTATCCCACTTATTTGTAGAACAAAAGAAAAAGTCACTACACCAGAAGGTACACGAGTGCTTGGCCCTTAGATTGCTGTAAAGTTTATGGTGCCTCGCGGGCAATAAATGATGTAATACTCGCTCGAAGATAGCCGCTGTCCACGTAGTAGTGTGAAAACTTGCCGGGGGGTACCATGTTTCACATGGCAATAAACGGATAACCGTAAGGCGTAGAAGTCCGAAATGTTCGGGTTAGATAGATAAAAGGTATTAGTACCGAATTAAGAAATAAAAATTTTGGGGAGCAAAATTATTTTTTTATCGAAAACATGGGTATCTTGTATCCTGTTTCAATTTAATGAACAATTATAATACTCCAAGCTTATCCGTAAAATACCTAAAACATTTGCACTTGATCAATCCCCGCTAATTATGTAATTATTTTTTTCCCAACACCAAAACAAAGTAATTAAAAAGTAAATGCTTTTCAACTAATGCAATGGTTTCATAAAGGGAAGTAATTGTGTTTTGCCTAATTTATCAAAGGGAAGTAAGCGCTATAGGACTAAATAAAAACATAATTAGAATTTTTGTAAAAGATGATATTTTTTTAAAACTTGTGTTTAATGAACACGCCGACAATTATTACTATAATTTGAAAAATGAAAATGATTTCCCAACACTTTTAATAGTAATTTTTTAACTCATAAATTTAGACAAACGCGCACGATAATTGATCTAACACTTAAATCCGTAGAAATGCCAACGACAAACATATGCGTTACAGAATTGAGCTTTATATATTAGAGTTACATGACTAAAAACCATTGCGCGCCTACTGAATATTACGTTCAGTAGGCGCGCAATGGTTTTTGAACGCAGCCATTACGTGGTCGTGATGGCGCAGCTATTGATGACGCGTGTGGTGTGGTTGGCTAGACATGCCTACTAATTCGGTCCAAATTTTAATTAATTCATAAAAAATCAATTAGGCATCCAATTAAGTCAAATTTAGTTTCAGATTGCATTATCTTCATCTCTTGACCCACGTGCCAAATGTGAATCGTATCGGTCAAGTAGAACTGTCCGAATTTTCACTCCTGCGTTTTCGTCTAGACTGACGACTGACGACAGACAGACTGACGAGGAAGTGAGTTAAATAAAAGCTTGTAATAATTTTTATTGAGTAAAAAAGAAACTATTTTAAACTTACAAAGAACTAAAAAGCACATAAAACAAGGCTTGCAGACGTATACCACTTACGTATATGTGCAAATAATTATTCATATATAAGTATATATATATATATATATATATATATATATATATATATATATATATATATATATATATATATATATATGAATATATATGAATTTATGTATCGATGTAAATGTTATAACAATGCTTTGGAATAAGGAAGGTCTGGTCACTGGAGTTGTATAATAATCGAATGGTTTCTGACGTCATGGGTCGTCTGGTTTTTCGCGTTTCTTCTCATGTACAACAGTTGTTGGCTTGGAATGTTTTCTGCAGCCACATGAATTCCCCCTCTGCAAGAACAGCATGGGAAAAGTTAGCGGAAATAGCCTACACAATCATGTATTGATGGGAACATAGACAAGAAGAATCACAGTGAAACTGGGAAAGAAAAAGTATTACTGTTAGAATACCTTGTAAAAAGAAGCTTAAAGAGCAAATAGAATAGAGACCCGTGGACGATTTACAGACATAAGTTATTTGTAACAATGTTGTTGATTGAAAGAACTTTGTATCAAGTTACATGTGTATCTTTTTGTGTGAATGTAACGAAACCGTGAGTACATTATAATTTACCATCGTATTGAGCTATATTGTGTGTAGCTTTTATTTTGTGAATGTAACTATACCGTGAGTACATTAGTATATATCATCGTATTAATCTATAATATGTGTAGGTTTTATTTTGTGAATGTAATAATACCGTGAATACATTAGTATACCATCATATTGAGCTACATAATGTGTAACGATACCGTGAGTACATTATGTGTAGCGTTTGTTTTGTGAATGTAACAATACTATGAGTACAATCCTATGTACCATCTTATTGAGCTACATTTTGTGTAGCTTTAATTTTATGAATGTAACTATAGCATGAGTAAAATCATATTTACCATCGTATTGAGCTACACTATGTGTAGCTTTTATTTTGCGAATGTAACGATACCGTGAGTACATTAGTATTTGCCATCGTATTGTGCTACATCATATGTAACGATACAGTGAGCAAATAAGTATTTACCATCGTATTGTGCTACATTATGTGTTATAATACCGTGAGTACATTAGTATTTCCCTTCGTATTGTGCTACATTATATGTAACGATACAGTGAGTACATTAGTATTTACCGTCGTATTGTGCTACATTGTATGTAACGATACAGTGAGTACATAAAAATTTACCATCGCCGAGCACATGATGACCATGAGCACAAAGACCAGCACCACCAGACCTCCAAGAACACCCTTCAGTTTTTTGTTCCTGGTCAAGTTGGCGTCGTGAGAGGAAACTGGAGGTGGGAGGTGAGGGGAGTGTGGGGGGTGAGGGGGATTGTGGGAATGAAAGAAAACATTTTAAAGGCGGCTCTAATAAACTTGAAAAGCCCACGTAAACATACTAATTTTTTTAAAATATGGCAATAAAATAAAACCTCAACCCCTTTCTTGAAGTCAACCGAAGTAACGAGGGAAAGTAAAACCATGAAAATCACAATACTTGTTTTCCACGAAAGTATACGCAATAGTGGTCAATGGGCTATAGTTTAGTATTTTATTTATATTAAATAATCAAAGATCACATATCACCAGAACACCCTGACTAAAAATAAAAAATAAAAGTGTTAGTTAAATTATTATTATATTACTAGTAATTAGTTTTTGGAAAATGTTTCAGCTTTAGTAAAACCGGAAGTAGGTATTTCTCAATATCGAATCGTTATTTCTCAAATGTATTTTTTTCTAAGAACTATGTACTGAAATAATAGCTACTTTATGATTATCTACGTATATTGTCTAAACTTAAGGTAAATGTTTTACTCGATACATTTAACTAATATAAAATAATAATCATTAAAAAAGTTTTTAAAAACCCACGTTTTCTGATTGAACTAAAAAGTAGAAAATAAATGCTATACATCACAATAATACAAGCGATCACTCTACTATAAGCGATCAAAAACGTGGGGCGCCGAAGTAAAAGTTATATTACTATTGATTAGATAATACTATTGACTTTTATTAGGGAGCTTCTAGAGAGTCAACAGTATTAGAAACTGTAAGAAAATCACGGCGCCCCACGTTTTTGATCGCTTATAGTAGAGTGATCGCTTGCATTATTGTGATGTATAGCATTTATTTTCTACTTTTTAGTTCAATCAGAAAATGTGGGTTTTTAAAAACTTTTTTAATGATTATTATTTTCTACTTTTTAGTCTTTGTCTGTTTGTTTGCATTAAAATCTTGCTATCGATTTTATCTTTTCACTTTTTTTTGGGTAAACGAAGACAACTCGTAAAAAGACAACTCGTAAAAAGACAACTCGTAAAAAACACGTTGTGTGAATACGTTACTGACTAGAACACATAGATTTGAACGCGTGTCGAGTGGGATAGCAATCGTGTGCCCAACCACTCGACCATATCGTCTCCCCCAAACTGGCCACCAGTGGTAATAGTTACCTCCTGTAAGTTTAAAGTCGGTTCAAACTAAATTATCTGCCCCTAAGCCTGTCGCGACGTGGGATCGTTCGCGTCACTGCGCGCGGCAAGAGAGAGGCGAGCTACGCGTCGCTCGTTTTTTTTTCTAATGGCTCGCAGAGGAGAATTATATATATAGATTATATAGCGGTCTAAAATGCTCAATAAAATGTTTCCATTGATCAATTTAGTAATAATAACAATTGAATATTCTATGGTCATCCGAAAGAAAGCTTCCCTGAAAATTTCAGCGCGCTAGCTAACTGGGAAGTGCCAGAAATTTCGATCGCAAGATTTGATTGGAAAAACAAACAGAGAAAGCAAGTTAAAGAAAACGTGGGAAGAATTAAAGAAAAAAATATAGACAATAACTAAATCTAAATCAAAGAAATAGTATGCAAACTTTCACCTAACTCGTTTTACATGTTAATAAATTAATGTCCGCCCTTAGACATCGATTACCTTCAAGACAAAGCATTTTAATAGCCACATACGTCATTGGACTAGGACAACCGCACTTGTTGCTGATACATTCCATAGAATGCATGCACTCGTAGTCTTCTTTACACTCGTAACCTAGGTGATATTCTGGTCAAAATAAACTACTATGTTTAGACATTGTGGAGCGGAAACTTTGCTGTTAAGTTTGTGAATACCTAGTTACGACATACAATGTAAAATAAAGTGCCCTTACGAATATAATCGTGTAGGGGACATGAGAAAGAGTTCAGCTGTTTCAGTGACCTCGGTATATAAAGGAATAGCGTGGTCAGCACTTTGACCAGCCGACTTGACTTTACCAACGTGAGTCCGATTCCCAACAGGACGGCGTGGAATCAGGGACGTTCTACCGTATAGGGCACGGGATCCAAAGTCTCGACTTGAGAGATATAAATATATATTAGTATGTAAATAAAAATATATTTATAGAGCATGCGACTTCTAACCAGAAAGTGTCGAGTTAAAATCGGGGTTCAAATAGGGAAAATGCGGCTTGGCATAAGGCTGACCAAACTCCCGTCATATGCCGAGGTTACAGAAACATGTGAACTCTACATCACTTGCCCCCGTGGACCGATAGGTTCTAAAGGGACCCTCAATCATATATATATATATATATATATATATATATATATATATATATATATATATATATATATATATATATATATATATATATATATATATATATATATGATTTTGGATTTACTTTCGTAGCCTCTTGCAACCAAGAACAAACTACAATGCAAATTAAGAACGAAGAAGAAGAAGAAGTTACTAAAAGATAATACTTACTGTTAATACAACTCTTCGTGGCGTTGACGTCGTAAAATTGATGCTTGAAGCAGACACATTTGTTGCTCACACACGTGTGGGTCAAGGTGCAGTGCTCAGTGATGTCACAGACGTCTTCATACCCCAGCCCTGGTGGATACAAACAGCAGGTCAGTTGTCCATCTTGATATGGTACACTTAAGAGAATTTTTTTCCCCAGTTACCTACGCCAGTGGCGTCGCTAGGTCGGGTGTGACCCGGTGCGGCACCTCATGGTGTCACACCCCCCCTCCTTCCTCCGATTTTTTTGCCAAATGGTGTCAATTTGTGCACACATTATTTTAATTCACCTATAAACTGTGTACCTCCACTGCCAAACCACTACCCCCGCCCTGGTAACAGCTTTAAAGTGTTAACAGTTATTACTAAAAATATTTATCTATATTGGGTTTTTAATACAGCTGGATGTAACATTGTTTTCTCTATAGTTTGCATGCTTACGTCATGGTGTCACCCCCAACCTCACTTGTTAGTATAGTCAGTTTGTACTTAAAATACTTTTACCTCTAATTAACCGTTCATTGAACAGGGAAAAATCATATTTTTTTAATATATTTAACTAATTGTTGTCTTGATGTCACCCCTCCTAAATGGAGTCGACCGGTGCGGTCCGTACCCCCGCACCCGCCTTGCGACGCCTTGCCTACGGCACCTGAGGCTATCTCCTTAACAACTGTCAAGTTTGTGTCGCATCTAATTCAAGCACTTCAAATAAAACGTATAGCTTATATAATACCAGTGTCAAAGTCATTGTTCGGTCACTTTAAACTCGATCGTTGAGATGGCTATAGTATTTCTCATTGGGATGAATATTTAAACTTAGTTTTAATGTCACCTGTTAGTTAACTAAGCAACAAACACATTATACAGTCGTGCATTATAAAACCGCTACTTATAAAGGTATAATGATGTAGACAACACATACTGGGGATGCAGTCTGGTATCGCCGGATCGAAGTACCGATCACTGGGACAGACGCACGTCCTGTCAACACACTCGTACCCGTCCCGGCAAGGGAAGTCATCGCTGCATATCTTCCCGTGGGGGATCTCTGAAACCATGGCAACCTCATTAGTTCAAGATTTTACTTCATTTAACTTATTCAGTAATTATGCGAGAAATTTTTTTCACTTGAAGAGTTTGTTGGGGAGGGGGGGGAGGGTGCGCCTAATACTTTAGGTAGGATGGAAGCGTACTTACATTTACGGGATGGGAGGGCGGGCCTTGGGTAAATCGTATATATATATATATATATATATATATATATATATATATATATATATATATATATATACTACATTAATCATACTTTAGACCACAAAGAAAGCCACTATTTTAGTCTTACTTGAGCCACTAATAAGACTTAATATATCCCATAAAAAGCCACTACTATTACCTTACCTTAGTCACTACTAAGTCTTACTTTAGACATTAAAGTAAGCCACTACTTTAGCCTTACTTGATCCCATAAAGTAAGCCACTACTTTAACCTTACTTGAGCCTTACTCTGCTAAGTCGTACCTGTTTACATAACGTAAAACACTACTTTTGTCCTACTTCAGATAATAAAGCCTTAATTGAACCCATAAAGTAAGCTAGTACTTTTTCCTTACTTGATCCCATAATGTAAACAACTAGCCTGACTTGAGCTTATAAAGTAAGCCACTACTTTAGCCTTCCTTGAGCCACTACCAAGTCTTACATTAGACCATAAAGTAAGCCACTACTTTAGCCTTATTTGAGCCCATAAAGTAAGCCACTAGCCTTTGTTAATTTTATAAAGTAAGCCACTACTTTAGCCTTACTTGAGCCCATGCACACGAATGGCAGGTTTAACGAACACGGAACCGCCTCCGCGACACCAAAGGGAAGTAACTTGATGCACAGGTCTGACGCCTGCTGATTTGTCTCAGCCTTCAACAGCCCGGCGACCTTGGCAGGGGTCTCGTCTTTCCACACCCAGGGGCTGGTGACGGTCTTTCGTGTCGCTCCCAGCCATACTGTTGGGATAGACTCGGGTGTTGAATAAAAAAATGTTTCAAAATTTTAAAGAAACTATTTAATTTAAAATAATTATATATTTTAGTTATGTTGAATAACGCACAATGGCGTGGTCATATGGTAGAGCTCATGACCGCTAACCCGGTAGTGTCGAGTTCGGAACCTTGGCTTGACATTTTAGGACGTCCCAGAGTCGACCAAACTCTGATGAGTACCGAACTAACGTTATGGAAACTGAGACGGTTGGGCATAGTGCTGACCACATTATCCGACAGTAAACAGGGGTAAACTAGAACATATACAATCTTTTTCACCTACCCGTTCACTAGCTTGAGGACTAACAGTGAAAAGATAACAGCTTACTGCGGGATTAAATAACTATTTTGTGCTTAGTAATACGGCCGTGTATTTAATTCCCTGTTTTTTAAAAGCCAGTTTTTCAGGGATAAAAGTCAGTGTAGAATTATTCTATGTGTTTGTGTGGTACTACATGCGAGTATGTATGGTGTATGTGGTTATATATTTGCGCATTGATTTATTATGTTAGTATATGGTTTATTATATGAGTGTATAACGAATACTTATATCAGTGTTTGAGTGATGTAAAGCTTCTGTGTGTAATGTGTGTGATGAGTGGTGCATCTCTACATTGTGATGTTTTAAGACATTGCCCACTACAAACATAAGATATTGATGTAAATGATGTAAAGCGACATTTAAGTACATTATCAACCTTCAGGTACTTAATATGTAATTTTACTTTTATTTTTTTATTTTTTTGTAAATTCGGCAATAGCCTTGAAAAGACTATGTATTCATACTATATTTAAATAAAAATATTTTTTAAAAATTTGGCAAGTGATAAAATTATAGTTACATTTTAAAAACTTTAAAGCATTTTGGGAACCATCGATTACATTTTAAAATTAAAAAATACTTTTTGCTAAATTAATATTAATGAATAAGTAATTGTTTTAAAAAAAAATATTTCTAACCTTAGTAAAACCGGTAGTTATTTTAAACTTATTACACACATGTTATAAAATATTCAAATTTGGTTAAAAAATATGCTTCCTGGCAAGCAAACATTTGGAACTTGCTTTTCATGCCTATTGGATAACTAGAAGAGTATTTTAACACAGGCAAGCCTTGATATGCCTATTGGATAGCTAGAAGAGTATTTCAACACAGGCAATCCTTAGCATGTAAACTCACTTTCTGAACCTACACCAAAATTTGCTGGGATGAACCCGAATGGGTACGTGTTCGAATCCACTTCCAACAGTGTTCCCTTCTCGGGCAAGGATTGACAAAACTTCTGAAAGAAATAAAGACCTTGATAAGACTTGAACTAGAAATTGAACATACATGGATTCTATTATTTCAGAGACCCCCGGTCAAAAACCCCTGAACATCAACTCCCTTGACATTTCGCCCAGAGGCGTAGCGAGTTGGGGGCGGGGGGCGGGGGGAATATGTCCCCGAGCGCCGACCTTATAGGGCGCCAAAATGGGTTGGAAAAACAAATTGAAAGTTTGAGGGGGAGTGTAAATCGAAAGTTTGAGGGGGGTGCAAATTGAAAGTTTGAGAGGGGGGTGCAAATCGAAAGTTTGTCCCCGGGCGCCGGGAAGGGTCGCTACGCCTCTGAATTATCGCCCCTTCCCCCTGGATAATAACCGCCCCCCCCCCCCTCCAACGACTGAGATTTAGCCTTTGTAAAGAAATTATAACGATGATGAGAACCGATAAAACACCACTATTGTGGGGTTTTTGTCCAGGGGTTTTACTTCGCAGGGGATTTATGTCCCGGGGGTTTTTGACCAGTCACCCACTTCAGATTACAATTTAAGACAGGGGTCTCCAAACTTTTCAGTCCGAGGGCCGCATTAACTATCGAATTTCAGTTCGGAGGCCAGTTAGTTCCAGGCATGTCTTTGATTTTTCTGGACAAAGTTCCTCAGCCATCACCAATAAACGTTTTTTCCGAGGACAAAAAGATCGCCGCGGGCCGGATAAGAGGACCTCGCGGGCCGCATCCGGCCCGCGGGCCGTAGTTTGGAGACCCCTGATTTAAGACATAGATCTGGTTTTTAAAAAAAATTAGTGATGTAATAAACTGATTTTTCTTAACAATATATTCTTCTTGACTAAATTTTTGTCAGAACTTTCAGTATTGTACAAAATTCGGCACGTTTATAAGCAGTGTGCATGTGTTTACAGAGCCAATTAGACTAACATAGACGATTGCCTGGGTAGATTAGACTAATAATGTTGACTATTTGGGCAGATTAAACTAACACAGACGATTACCTGTGCAGATTAGATTAACAAGACGATTACCTGAGCTCTTTGTTGAGTCAAGGGTGTGGGAACAAACTTGAAACACTGATCGTTAACCAAGTCCGAATCATTCCAGGAATTGCACGTGATTTGGGCTAAAAACATACAAAGGTTTATCAATTTTTTTAGGGTATTAAATTGTAAATTGTAATTTCATAAACTATTCCTTATTGCCGAGGTCATTAAAATTTATAAACTCGACTTCAACTACCACATTTCCCTAGGGCATAAACGGGAATTCAAGCCAAAACAAAAGGGAATTAACATCAAGATAAAAATAGAAATCAGGACTACGTTTTACGTCCTAACTTGCAGGCATGCAGATAAAAGTAAAGGTCATGCACTTATTTACCTGTCAGCATGCAGGGCCAGTCTTTACTTACATTTTAGCATGCAGATAAAAGTTATGGTTTAGTTCTTACTTACCTGTCCGCAATCAGTGGCGTAGTAGTGACGAGTAAGAAGCAGTGGCGAGATAGAAGCAGTGGCGTAGCGAGGTCGGGTGTCCATATTCACTTGTAAGTATGTGTATACGCATGTGCATATGCATTCAATTTTTTTTTTCTTCTGGATGTATTTAATTCTTTTACATCACCATCCCGCGATTCTCCACCAAACGGTTTTCCTCAGGCATATTTGTAACGTTGATTTGATCTAATTGTCATTTTTCTGTACATATATTGCTATTTTTTACCTTGGTGTCACCCCCCCCCCCCGCCCTAAATAGTGTCACCCGGTGCGGTCCGCCCCCCACCCCTCCCTCACGCAACGCCTCTGGATACAAGTTAAGGACCAGTCCTTACTTACAATTGTGCATGCAGATAAAAGTTAGTCCATTCCTTACTTACAATTGTGCATGCATATAAAAGTTAGTCCATTCCTTACTTACAATTGTGCATGCAGATAAAAGTTAGTCCATTCCTTACTTACAATTGTGCATGCAGATAAAAGTTAGTCCATTCCTTACTTACAACTATGCATGCAGATAAAAGTTAGTCCATTCCTTACTTACAACTGTGCATGTAGATACAAGTTAAGGTCCAGTCCGTACTTACAATTTTGCATGCAGATAAAGGGCAAGCTCCAGCTGCAGTCCTCACGGAAGACGGTGCCAGTGCTGTCTATGGCGGCACAGCCTGCACGAATGGGGGGACACGGCTTCAGAAGGTGTTTGATATTTGCTGAGCTGTGGTTAGGCCACACCCACTCGCCCTCCTTTAGAATATCATTGGCGCCTATCCAAACCTTACCTAGATAGAGAAAACAGTTGGAGCAAGGGTAGACAACTACAGAGCAGGCAATGTTTAAACAAAAAATATGTTTCATCGAGTTAGTATGAATATAAGAGAAAATTGTTTTTAAAAAATATTATAAGAATACCATTTTGAATGCAATGATATAGTAAACAGTCTTTCTACCAGACATTTTTCTCCGGGGGGGGGGGGGGGGGGGAAGTGCACTTGAAATTTCAGTTTCGGGCGGGGGGTGGGGGCGGACGCTCTGTTAAAAGTATATATTTTTCTACAAAAATTAAATTTGGTTTTGGCAGGGGGAAGGAGGGGGGGGGGGGGCGATGATATGCCTGGCTGAACCTCTTATAGTAAAACACAGATATACTTTCTTTAGTAAAAGTATGGGTCGGTAAAATGTGTAAAACATTTCATGAAATGAATCAAAATTAAGCCACACGATTTCTCACAAACAGACAATTACAACTAAGAGCTTGAAAACGCTCACCATTAAAGTTAGGGGCTAGCAACTTCATATTGAACGTAGTAGGTTGAAACAAATTAGAATTTATCTCAAGTAAAGTTCCATTCTGACTTTGACACATAATCTGTGGAGTTAGAGAATTAGAACACAGGTTAATGCACTAAAACGGGGACTTTAGGCCATAGTAATGAGGGTTTTGTCCAGATGGGCCACGCCACTAATGCAAAATGTGCACGGGCGAAAAGCTTAGCCCCGACAGTTGTAACATAATTTTGATGTCTAGACATTTGGATATTTAAACGAACGTCATAAAAATAACTTGTTATCCGCTTGTACGGTTAGAGTAAGGGTTTAAGGTGGAGGTTAGGAGTTAAGGTTAGTAAAGGATCCTTTATAGACCTAGCGATAACTTGAAGTCGAATTCTATACCCCGAATATCAAGGAAAATATGGTCAGCACTTTCCCAGCCACCTTTACTTTCCCTAACACGAGTTAGGCACCTATGAGAGCTGGGTGGAATCAGGGATGTTCTACTGACTTTGTACCCGGATTCCAACACGAGACTTCCATGTTAGCAGACTAGCTCTCTACCGCTTTGGCCACGCCTTCCAATTGTTATGGTTAGGTTTAAAAATACCAAAGTAAAAGACCGTTTTTACTCATGCTGTTGATGACATGTTCCAATTTTAGCCACTGTAATAAAATCTAAATGTACAAGTTTTCCATACTTGTTTTCTATAATCCTTATTGTTTGGTGACGAGGGGGGTGGGGGGGGGGGGGAATTCGTTTTTTTGTTCGGCTAAAGTGGGTCCAATAATGCTGTTGTGTTTATGTGGGGGAATAAACATGATGTTTTGTACCTACCAACGCGTCTGCCCATCTTTTCTTATCTGCGTAGTGTTTGAAACAGGTGTTCTCTATTGACGTGTAACCCTCCCAGCGGCCACAACCTGTATCGTTCTGTGCTTGAAAAGTAGTAAGGGAAAGTAATTTGAAAAGTATTAAGGGGAAGTAATTTGAAAAATAGTAAAGAGAAGTACTTCAAAAGTAATAAGGGGAAGTAATTTAAAAAGTAGTAAGGGGAAGTAATTTGAAAAGTAGTAAGGGGAAGTAATTTGTAAAGTAGTAAGGGGAATTAATTTGAAAAGTAGTAAGGGGAAGTATTTTGAAAAGTACTAAGGGGAAGTAATTTGAAACAAAGAAGCGGAGAAAGGAAAGTTAAATGAAATAAAGTATTGAATAAACAAGGTATATTTAAGTAAATATGTAGGACTTGTGTAGCTAAGCCAGTAATAGACAAGTAAGGTATATGAAAATAGACATTTTAGTAATTATAGCTAGACAAATTCATCTCCCGTAGCTGATTATGATATTTGTTAAATCGAGTGGCTGAAAGAAGAAGAGTAATTTAATCAATGTTAAAAATAAATTCCCCTGGATAATACTCAAAAAAAAAAATTAATTAATTAATTAATTTAAAAAATAAAGGGGGATAACTGAATTAAAATATTAACAAGGAAAATAATAAAATTACACCGTACGTGTGATCATACAGACGAACTCATTCGCGTGGCTACAGTCGTTTTCTTCAAGCTTGCCGTCCGCAGCGAGCACCACGCAGTTGTTGCGACCAATCCACATCTGGTCGATGTTGGCCGTCCTGCCGTCGTCCCACGTCAAGTTGGCCTTGTTGTCTGTCTTTCTGGCGCCAATCCAGCCTGTGTTGAAATCATTATGTTTGGCATTTGAATTAATCGCAAGCTGATTGAAGAGGCGTAGCGACCCTCCCGGCGCCCGGGGACATACTTTCGATTTGCACCCCCCCTTCGAACTTTTTATTAGCACCCCGCCCAAACTTCCGATTTGCACCCCCCCCCCTCGAACTTTTGACTTGCAACCCCCTCTCAAACTTTCAATTTGTTTTTCTAACTCATTTTGGCGCCCCCCACCTAAGGCCGGCGCCCGGGGACATATGCCCGCCACCCCCACCCCTCGCTACGCCTCTGGCTGATTGGTAAAATACATTTGTTTTAAAAACTATTTCTTGGCAATATTAGTTATAATATAAAATATTCTCGTGAATATACAATGGATATTTAAAAAATACTTTAAAAAAACTTTTTAAAAAACCACGTTTTTCTTGTGGACTAAAAAGTAGAAAATAACTATTTACATACATTTGATGACAAAAAACGTGGGTACGTTCACCATCAAATTTCCCGACCCATCTGCCCGACCCACGTTTTTTTGTCATCAAATGTATGTAAATAGTTATTTTCTACTTTTTAGTCCACAAGAAAAACGTGGTTTTTTTAAAAGTTTTTTTTAAGTATTTTATTTTCTCCTTTTTAGTCCGTTGCTACACATGAAAAACGTGGTTTTTAAAAAAGTTTTTTATATAGTTTATTTTCTACTTTATCTAATGACTTGATTAAGTATGAATTGACTAAGTGTTTATAAATACACGGACTAAAAAAATCTTGAGCGACCAGGATTCGAACCTGGGTTGTCGCGGCCACAACGCGAAGTACTAACCACTATACGATCACGGCCAGCGCGCTCGCATCGATTGGGGCCGAAGTAACTGTGTCAATAAGCCTTCAGTCTTGTCGGTATCTTTAGAAATCATGTCCTCAATTTTATGGTCCTTTGGGCGTAATTAAATTAAGCTAATTACGGTCTCTAATTGCTAGTTTTTATGATTGCATCTGAAATTGTTAGGCGAAAGTAACTTGCATGCCAAATTTCAGATCTATAGAGCAATCAGAAGTGGGCTAATTTTCGATGTCAATTTTAACAACAAACACATCCACACGAAGCTGAGTTAATAAAAACGTGTTAAAAAAAAAGAATATTTTAAAACTATTAAAAACAGCATTTTCTTTCCTAAAAAGAAAAAAAAATGTTTTCGTTTGTAGAAATAGGAATCGATTATAGTTTTAAGTTAACTTTAACATTATAAAAATAATTCATTTTTGATGAAATGTAGATTTTACATTACAATATTTGATTGTTGATAATGTAAACACATTTCGAGAATTAACAGGTATTATAAATATATCGGGACGCAGTACAATACTTTCAGTATTGTTAAATGATGAATTATTTTTCGTAAGGGGGCCATTGGTAAATTATGTATGTTAAAATAGTAATATAAACGTTTTTTTTTTAATGTTAATTTGTACAGAGCGGATAAAAGAACGTCTTTTAAACAACATATACATAGAGCAATGCGTATACATACATTTGCCTTTCTATAGGAATATTCTTCAGAAAAAAAAAGTTAAGTAGCATACGACTGTTCTTATATATTATTTTTAGGCTAAAAAAATATCTTTTGACGAAACTTATAAATACTGATAATGTCATCTATTGCTGATAATATATTTAAAAATTTGAAAAAAAAAAAACATCACCAAAGAACGATAACCGGGATTAATATAAAAACTACGAACATTCTAAGTTCTCTCCCATATTTGACGGCATCAGATAATGGGGGAAGATTTCGGTGTTCATTTCTGCTAGAACAACATCACTCGACTCCAGTTCACAGAATCTCTGACCAATTCAAACATAGTTGTTAGAAAAAGAAAAGTTTTAAATTAGTTTTGAATTAAATTAAATTATAAATAATAAAAGGTATGCATATATATATATATATATATATATATATATATATATATATATATATATATATATATATATATATATATATATATATATATATATTCCGATAGCTCATACGAGCTCTGTTCGCACCATTGCCATGTTCTAAATATAGATCTTACCTCACCCTCTCCCAGCTGCAAAAATACCTATACGTGCTAATCTACTAGCTTACGTTTTACTGTTAAGGTAGGCTTACTTGCTGCGGTACTCTTGCGTTTCTCTTGTGTGAAATTTGTGAAACACTCCCGGGGGTTAAAATCTTAACTTTAATCAGTAAGATTTTATCTTAGCATATAACCAACTTGTCTATACCTTAGCATGCACCCAACTTGTCTATACCTTAGCATCCACCCAACTTGTCTATACCTTAGCATCCACCCAACTTGTCTATACCTTAGCATCCACCCAACGTGTCTATACCTTAGCATCCAACCAACTTGTCTATACCTTAGCATCCACCCAACTTGTCTATACCTTAGCATCCACCCAACTTGTCTATACCTTAGCATCCACCCAACGTGTCTATACCTTAGCATCCACCCAACTTGTCTATACCTTAGCATCCACCCAACTTGTCTATACTTTAGCATCCACCCAACTTGTCTATACCTTAGCATCCACCCAACTTGTCTATACCTTAGCATCCACCCAACTTGTCTATACCTTAGCATCCACCCAACTTGTCTATACCTTAGCATCCACCCAACTTGTCTATACCTTAGCATCCACCCAACTTGTCTATACCTTAGCATCCACCCAACTTGTCTATACCTTAGCATCCACCCAACGTGTCTATACCTTAGCATCCACCCAACTTGTCTATACCTTAGCATCCACCCAACGTTTCTCTATACCTTAGCATCCACCCAACGTTTCTCTATACCTTAGCATCCACCCAACTTGTCTATACCTTAGCATCCACCCAACTTGTCTATACCTTAGCATCCACCCAACTTGTCTATACCTTAGCATCCACCCAACGTTTCTCTATACCTTAGCATCCACCCAACGTTTCTCTATACCTTAGCATCCACCCAACTTGTCTATACCTTAGCATCCACCCAACTTGTCTATACCTTAGCATCCACCCAACTTGTCTATACTTTAGCATCCACCCAACTTGTCTATACCTTAGCATCCATCCAACGTTTCTCTATACCTTAGCATCCACCCAACGTTTCTCTATACCTTAGCATCCACCCAACGTTTCTCTATACCTTAGCATCCACCCAACTTGTCTATACCTTAGCATCCACCCAACTTGTCTATACCTTAGCATCCACCCAACTTGTGTATACCTTAGCATCCACCCAACTTGTCTATACCTTAGCATCCTCCCAACTTGTCTCTATACCTTAGCATCCACCCAACTTGTCTATACCTTAGCATCCAACCAACTTGTCTATACCTTAGCATCCACCCAACTTGTCTATACCTTAGCATCCACCCAACTTGTCTATACCTTAGCATCCACCCAACTTGTCTATACCTTAGCATCCACCCAACGTTTCTCTATACCTTAGCATCCTCCCAACTTGTCTATACCTTAGCATCCACCCAACTTGTCTATACCTTAGCATCCACCCAACTTGTCTATACCTTAGCATCCACCCAACTTGTCTATACCTTAGCATCCACCCAACTTGTCTATACCTTAGCATCCACCCAACTTGTCTATACCTTAGCATCCACCCAACTTGTCTATACCTTAGCATCCACCCAACTTGTCTATACCTTAGCATCCACCCAACTTGTCTATACCTTAGCATCCACCCAACTTGTCTATACCTTAGCATCCACCCAACTTGTCTATACCTTAGCATCCACCCAACTTGTCTATACCTTAGCATCCACCCAACTTGTCTATACCTTAGCATCCACCCAACTTGTCTATACCTTAGCATCCACCCAACTTGTCTATACCTTAGCATCCACCCAACTTGTCTATACCTTAGCATCCTCCCAACTTGTCTCTATACTTTAGCATCCACCCAACGTGTCTATACCTTAGCATCCACCCAACTTGTCTATACCTTAGCATCCTCCCAACTTGTCTCTATACTTTAGCATCCACCCAACGTGTCTATACCTTAGCATCCACCCAACGTTTCTCTATACCTTAGCATCCACCCAACGTGTCTATACCTTAGCATCCACCCAACGTTTCTCTATACCTTAGCATCCACCCAACGTTTCTCTATACCTTAGCATCCACCCAACTTGTCTATACCTTAGCATCCACCCAACGTGTCTATACCTTAGCATCCACCCAACTTGTCTATACCTTAGCATCCACCCAACTTGTCTATACCTTAGCATCCACCCAACTTGTCTATACCTTAGCATCCACCCAACTTGTCTATACCTTAGCATCCACCCAACTTGTCTATACTTTAGCATCCACCCAACTTGTCTATACCTTAGCATCCATCCAACGTTTCTCTATACCTTAGCATCCACCCAACGTTTCTCTATACCTTAGCATCCACCCAACGTTTCTCTATACCTTAGCATCCACCCAACTTGTCTATACCTTAGCATCCACCCAACTTGTCTATACCTTAGCATCCACCCAACTTGTGTATACCTTAGCATCCACCCAACTTGTCTATACCTTAGCATCCTCCCAACTTGTCTCTATACCTTAGCATCCACCCAACTTGTCTATACCTTAGCATCCAACCAACTTGTCTATACCTTAGCATCCACCCAACTTGTCTATACCTTAGCATCCACCCAACTTGTCTATACCTTAGCATCCACCCAACTTGTCTATACCTTAGCATCCACCCAACGTTTCTCTATACCTTAGCATCCACCCAACTTGTCTATACCTTAGCATCCACCCAACTTGTCTATACCTTAGCATCCACCCAACTTGTCTATACCTTAGCATCCACCCAACTTGTCTATACCTTAGCATCCACCCAACTTGTCTATACCTTAGCATCCACCCAACGTGTCTATACCTTAGCATCCAACCAACTTGTCTATACCTTAGCATCCACCCAACTTGTCTATACCTTAGCATCCACCCAACTTGTCTATACCTTAGCATCCACCCAACTTGTCTATACCTTAGCATCCACCCAACTTGTCTATACCTTAGCATCCATCCAACGTTTCTCTATACCTTAGCATCCACCCAACGTTTCTCTATACCTTAGCATCCACCCAACTTGTCTATACCTTAGCATCCACCCAACTTGTCTATACCTTAGCATCCACCCAACTTGTCTATACCTTAGCATCCACCCAACTTGTCTATACCTTAGCATCCACCCAACTTGTCTATACCTTAGCATCCACCCAACTTGTATATATCTTAGCATCCACCAAACGTTTCTCTATACCTTAGCATCCACCCAACTTGTCTATACCTTAGCATCCACCCAACTTGTCTATACCTTAGCATACACCCAACGTGTCTATACCTTAGCATCCACCCAACTTGTCTATACCTTAGCATCCACCCAACGTTTCTCTATACCTTAGCATCCTCCCAACTTGTCTCTATACCTTAGCATCCTCCCAACTTGTCTATACCTTAGCATCCACCCAACTTGTCTATACCTTAGCATCCACCCAACGTGTCTATACCTTAGCATCCACCCAACGTGTCTATACCTTAGCATCCACCCAACGTTTCTCTATACCTTAGCATCCACCCAACGTGTCTATACCTTAGCATCCACCCAACGTTTCTCTATACCTTAGCATCCACCCAACTTGTCTATACCTTAGCATCCACCCAACGTGTCTATACCTTAGCATCCACCCAACGTTTCTCTATACCTTAGCATCCACCCAACGTTTCTCTATACCTTAGCATCCACCCAACTTGTCTATACCTTAGCATCCACCCAACTTGTCTATACCTTAGCATCCACCCAACTTGTCTATACCTTAGCATCCACCCAACTTGTCTATACCTTAGCATCCACCCAACTTGTCTATACCTTAGCATCCACCCAACGTGTCTATACCTTAGCATCCAACCAACTTGTCTATACCTTAGCATCCACCCAACTTGTCTATACCTTAGCATCCACCCAACTTGTCTATACCTTAGCATCCACCCAACTTGTCTATACCTTAGCATCCACCCAACTTGTCTATACCTTAGCATCCATCCAACGTTTCTCTATACCTTAGCATCCACCCAACGTTTCTCTATACCTTAGCATCCACCCAACTTGTCTATACCTTAGCATCCACCCAACTTGTCTATACCTTAGCATCCACCCAACTTGTCTATACCTTAGCATCCACCCAACTTGTCTATACCTTAGCATCCACCCAACTTGTCTATACCTTAGCATCCACCCAACTTGTATATATCTTAGCATCCACCAAACGTTTCTCTATACCTTAGCATCCACCCAACTTGTCTATACCTTAGCATCCACCCAACTTATCTATACCTTAGCATCCACCAAACGTTTCTCTATACCTTAGCATCCACCCAACTTATCTATACCTTAGCATCCACCCAACTTGTCTATATCTTAGCATCCACCCAACTTGTCTCTATACCTTAGCGTCCCGTCCCCCCACCCCCCAACTTGTTTCTATAGCTTAGCGCCCCCCCCTTCCGACTTGTCTATACCTTAGCATCCTCGCAACTTGTCTATACCTTAGCATCCACCCAACTTATCTATACCTTAGCACATACCCAACTTGTCTATATCTTAGCATCCACCCAACTTGTCTCTATACCTTACCGTCCCGTCCCCCCACCCCCAACTTGTTTCTATACCTTAGCGCCCCCCCCCCCTCCCGACTTGTCTATACCTTAGCATCCTCGCAACTTGTCTATACCTTAGCATCCACCCAACTTGTCTATATCTTAGCATCCACCCAACTTGTCTCTATACCTTACCGTCCCGTCCCCCCACCCCCAACTTGTTTCTATACCTTAGCGCCCCCCCCCTCCCAACTTGTCTATACCTTAGCATCCTCCCAACTTGTCTATACCTTAGCATCCACCCAACTTGTGTATACCTTAGCATCCAACCAACTTGTCTATACCTTAGCATCCACCCAACTTGTCTATACCTTAGCATCCACCCAACTTGTCTATACCTTAGCATCCACCCAACTTGTCTATACCTTAGCATCCACCCAACTTGTCTATATACCTTAGCATCCTCCCAACTTGTCTATACCTTAGCATCCACCCAACTTGTCTATACCTTAGCATCCACCCAACTTGTCTATACCTTAGCATCCACCCAACTTGTGTATACCTTAGCATCCAACCAACTTGTCTATACCTTAGCATCCACCCAACTTGTCTATACCTTAGCATCCACCCAACTTGTCTATACCTTAGCATCCACCCAACTTGTCTATACCTTAGCATCCTCCCAACTTGTCTATACCTTAGCATCCACCCAACTTGTCTATACCTTAGCATCCACCCAACTTGTCTATACCTTAGCATCCACCCAACTTGTCTATACCTTAGCATCCACCCAACTTGTCTATATACCTTAGCATCCTCCCAACTTGTCTATACCTTAGCATCCACCCAACTTGTCTATACCTTAGCATCCACCCAACTTGTCTATACCTTAGCATCCACCCAACTTGTCTCTACCTTAGCATCCACCCAACTTGTCTATACCTTAGCATCCACCCAACTTGTCTATACCTTAGCATCCACCCAACTTGTCTATATACCTTAGCATCCAACCAACTTGTCTATACCTTAGCATCCACCCAACTTGTCTATACCTTAGCATCCACCCAACTTGTCTATACCTTAGCATCCACCCAACTTGTCTATACCTTAGCATCCACCCAACTTGTCTATACCTTAGCATCCACCCAACTTGTCTATACCTTAGCATCCACCCAACTTGTCTATACCTTAGCATCCACCCAACTTGTCTGTACCTTAGCATCCAACCAACTTGTCTATACCTTAGCATCCTCCCATGATTTTTCGATCGTGAAGATCTTGAAACATAAGCCGTGCTGGATAACAGACCCTGTCCAGCTGTTGCAGCGGTACAGGTTCTTTACTGGTGTGGGAGAGACATGTTTACACATTTGTACCGGTACAAATTCTTGTATTGGTGTGGGAGAGACATGTTTACACATTTGTACCGGTACAAGTTCTTTACTGGTGTGGGAGAGACATGTTTACACATTTGTACCGGTACAGGTTCTTTACTGGTGTGGGAGAGACATGTTTACACATTTGTAACGGTACAGGTTCTTTACTGGTGTGGGAGGGACATGTTTAAACATTTGTACCGGTACAAGTTCTTTACTGGTGTGGGAGAGACATATTTACACATTTGTACCGGTACAGGTTCTTTACTGGTGTGGGAGAGACATATTTACACATTTGTACCGGTACAAGTTCTTTACTGGTGTGGGAGAAACATGTTTACACATTTGTAACGGTACAAATTCTTTACTGTTGGGGGAGAGACATTTGTACACATTTGTACCGGTACAAATGTAAAGATACACGTGTAGATGTACAAGTGTTTTTTATACAACATTTACTCCTTTTACCGGTATAAATGTGGGTAATACAAATACACATGTATACAAGCACGGATGTATGGAAAAAAATGTATACAGGCGGAAGAAGATGTATTAGTTTGTATACTGTTTGACGTGGAGACAAGTAATGACGTAGCAATGAAAGAAATATACCATTGCACATATACACATATGAATACAATAACACGTTTTGATACATCTATAATGATAAAGGTGCATGTCAGACGAATACAATCAAATTTTTCCACACCAAAACGTTTTTTAAATTACTTATTAAAGTAGTAACGTGATATCATTGCTAATCAAGAGCGAGCCCTTCCATTTATGTTTAAAATATATTTATCTTACGATAATGTGTACGATTTATTTATAGAATAATGTGTAATAAAACAAAATCAGTATACAGGGTATGGATTCGGCGTAAGTCAAGTGGTAGATCTTAAGACAACGAAGTCATGAGTTCGCATCCGGAGCTAATGTCTGTAGGACATCTCTGAGTCCACCCAGCTCTTATGAGTACCTAACTCACGTTAGGGAAACCAAGACGAATAGGTATCGTGCTGATCACACTACCACCCAATTGACCGAGGTCTTTGAAACAGAAAAACTCTACTTTATCTACCATGTGTGTATTGGGCACGAACGGAAAAAAATATACTGACAACTGATCTCACCATTTTCTAAACAGATGAAGCTGAGTTTTTCCGTGCAGTCGATCTGGAAAATGTTTCCTGTTGTGTCCATCAGCGAGCAGTTCTTTTTGGCCCAGTACTGGTCTGGGCCTATGACCAGTTGGGACAAGGTGTCTGGAACCGGGGTGCCGTCTGGCCATTTCCAGGTGTCGGCTCTCTCGATGGTGTTGGCGCCGTACCAGACTGGTGGAGGCAAGGGGGACAGGTAGATTTACAGGTATGTAAAACAAAGGTTGGGTTTGAACCAGAATGATAAAATTGAGTAGACGGGCATGCGAAACAAACACTATGTCTTGGATAAGTTTTTAGATGCCTGAAAGAAACCGTTTGTCTTAGTTAAACATTTAGATGAAGGGTTGGAAAAGTAGATTAGTAAGCATAAAACAAATGTGGCCAATGAGGTCATCCATAAATGACGTCACACTTGTCTGGAAGATTTCCCCCCCCTCCCACTTTCTACTGTTGCATATCGTCAAACAAAGCCTGACCCCCCCCTCTCCTCAAATAATGTTAGACCTGAGGTTACCACCACCACCCCCACTCCCCACAAAATTGCAGTTAGTTTTTGAAAAACATCGATTTCTTTCTGATTTATTGACTGTGCTCGGTCAAAATAGAGTATACCAATCCAATTTCTATAATAATTTACAAAAACAGTTTCCAGAAATTCGAAAGTAACGGAAAAAAATTAGTTTCTAACTTTATGTTTTTTAAATAAAAGGTGTAACGTCACACTGAACCTCTGCCTCTCCCCACTACAGTGTGACGTCATTGATGGACACACCCCTCACCCACACCGTTTGAAAAAAATGACTAGAATAAGTTTAGATACACACGTGAAAAAATAATCTACGCCAGGGATTTGCTTAATCCACAGCTCAGTAACGGAAGCATTACTCAGTAGCCACAATCATCCATGTCACCATGGACAATTTCTGCCCGATGACTTGTTAAGAAGTCTACTACTTCTACCGTTCACTTTCAATTGTCTACACTAACTGCTTTTATATTTTCTTTTTTTTTTAAGTTGACAAATCCATTTACAGTTACATAACTTTGTTTTCACTTTATCTGATACAAATCACTATACTTATAGAAATTTAAAACTTCTAGCATCACATTGACAACTAGAAATGTGGATATGTTGATGTTGTTGCTGTAAGTGTTAGGAAGGTGGGCACTTACTGTCAACATCAACGTTCATGACTTGGTTCATCAGACGGTATTCCTCAGGTGATAAGTTCAGGAGGGTGCCGCCGTCAGGTAGCGAGGTGCAGTGTGTCTAGGGGGGGGGGGAAGAAGAGAATAAATTAGTCTTGTTAAGAATAATCATTAGGGCAGATGAAATGGGTGTGTCTAGGGGGGGGGGGGGGGGGAACAAAAGAGAATAAATATCTTGTTAAGAATAATTAGGGTAGTTAAATTAGATTTGTCTAGTGGGGGAGGGGAAGGTGTAAAAAGAAAAGAAAACATATGTCTTGGTATCAATAATTAGGGTAGTTAAAGTAGAGTTTTCCTGCGTTGGCGATATATATATATATATATATATATATATATATATATATATATATATATATATATATATATATATATATATATATATCAGTGGCGTAGCGAGGTCGGGTGTCACCCGGTGCGGCACTTAATGGTGTCACCCCCCCCAGAGGCATAGAGACCCTTCCCAGGGACAAACTTTCAAATTTTCGATTTGCACCCCCCCCCCCCCTCAAGTTTTCGATTTGCCCCCCCCCCCTCAAACTTTCGATTTGCACCCCCCCCCTCGAGTTTTTCTCTATATATTTTGCTATTTTTTGCCTTGGTGTCACCCCCCTAAATGGTGTCACCCGGTGCGGTCCGCACCCCCCGCCCCCCCCCCTCGCTACGCCGCTGATATATATATACATAGATGGAGATACTTGTATTGTTAGCAGTATATACAGCCGACACAGTTTCAAAAAATTGAGTTTGGATAAGCGGGGAGTTAACTCTTAGATGTGAACGTGCTTAAGTCAAAGGAATGTTTTAGAGTCTGTAGATGTGTGCCCTACTGCACTAGAACACGGTCCTAAATATAGATTATAGATGCGCACATGACTCCCAAAATAACTTAAAAATAGAGTATCAAACGTTGTTATTGGAAAAGACGAGATGGTTCAAAAACGGAGTCTGACAATGCTTGGACAAAGTGAATGACTGCATACATCATATATTGTATTATGGGATGCTGAGATTACTGGGTGTACGTACCAGCGCTTCACTCCATGTCATAGCGGTCATCATGTATAAATAGCATCGGTCATTGAACCTGATGGATCCTGGCCACTTGAGGCAGAGGTCGTCCTCAGCTGTGGGCATAGGGGATCCGAGGTATTACATGGGTATACATCTGTATGCCTAGCTATATACATGTTTATATGGGTAAATGTGGACATTGGTACATTTGTGTACATTGCTACGTATGTCTCTGTTCATGAGTTTATGGTCGTGATTAATAAAATATGAGTTTGTGTTTGTGTTTGTTTATAAATAACATATTGTTCTTTCTAAAAATGTTTGAGTTTAAATAACATATTGTTATAAAAAATAGTTCCCCAACTAATTATGTTTTTGTGTATAAATAAAGGACTTGCCAAGGTAATGATATATGTATGAATATCATTTTTGACTGTAATTCCTGGGTGTGTTGATAAAATAAAAAACCTATAGATGAAAGTACTGAACCCATTCACATGTATAAATTGTTTATTAATATCAGTTATAATGGGATACATTTTTTGTGACTAAATCGTGTAAACATTAACAGTGTAAAGATAAAGGGGCGTTGTCCATAATTAATGGCATACAACTGATGTGATGAATAAAGAGAGGGATCAAACTTTTCAAATTGTAGGTTAACTGGAATGGGTACAGTAGCGTAGCGAGGGGGGGGGGGGCGGGGGGACGGACATATGTCCCCGGGCGCCGACCTAATTTGGGCGCCAAAATGGGTTGGAAAAATAAATCGAAAGCTTGAGGAGGGGGGGGGTGCAAACAAATCAAAAGTTTGAGGTGGGGGGTGCAAATCGAAAAGTTTGTCCCTGGGCGCAGGGAAGGGTCGCTACGCCTCTGGATGGGTAAAATTATCAGGATGCCTGTACTGGGATTACGGAGTAGTCTAGCGGTAGAGAGCTAGACTGCGAACCCGTATGTCTCGAGTTCGAATCCGAGTTCAAGTCATTAGAACGTCCCTGAGTCCATACAGTCCTAATGGGTACCCAATTCGCTTTAGGGAAAGCAGGTTACTGAAAAAACAGCATACATATAATACAAATATCTAATATAACGACCGAATAGAATATCAATTTAGCTATCAATTGCGCTGAATTAATACCATTGTTAGGTCAACCAAGTCATAGTGGGTAAAGCGAATCACACAACCTTCTTCTCAGGGCCGGCGCTACCTATAAGGCGAACTAGGCGGTCGCCTAGGGCGCCATCCCTAGGGTGCACAAAAAGGTTTACTTGCTATTATCAAAAAGTAAGTAATAACTAATAACTTTGATTATCTTTTAGAAACTATAGATGGTAGTATACAAATGAGTAACGATCTATTTGGGCTCCCAGGACGAACTATCAATTTTGCACCCCACCCCAAAAGTAGGCCAGTCTAGGCCTATATTTATTCACGTTGGTGAAAATGCAACCCCACCTCCCTAATTTGCAAAGGTCGGGGCGCTTTTTACCAGTCATTTTGCCTTTTTTTAGTTGATGTAGAAAACGATTAAATGAGTTCGTAATTTAAATTTCGAACATTTGAAACAGTTATCTAATTTTAATGTTGGTTTAGTGATCGCTCCAGCACATGACAGGACGTTCCAATACATGAGCAAATTCGGTTTTTAAATGGGCTTGTAAATCTGTTTTTCTCTGACTTTGCATTATAAATCTGTTCTGGTGTATAGAGTTTTGTAATGACGGGGTGTTCAAAGTATTGTACTTTTTTGGTAAGTTATGATGAATCGTTTAGATTTGGGAGTAGCGGCTGTTGTGTAGTTGGGTAGAGAAATGCGAATGTAGGTGATGAGGTATGGTAGTTCTGGAGTTAGGGAGTATCGAGTCTTGTGTTATTAAGGTATCGAATTGTGTTGACTGTTAACGTGCAGTACTAGGTCCAGTTAAATCGTTGTTGATTGGGAGAGCTTTGTGAAGTTAAGCAAGTTGGTGTCGTAGTTCTGGAGTATCGAGTCTAGTTATGTTTAGGTATCGAAGTTTAATATGTGTTGTGAATGTAGTAGAGTATATCGAGTAGTCGAGTTTATCTTAAGTTAGATAATTTCAATTCAGGACGGAACACACTACAAAGAAGGGTAGCGTTCTCTAGCTGACATTGTTTTAGTTTTTTTTAAGAATCTTTATTACCACTCTTAACGTATTAATCTATTATTATATAGGCTGGAATGTATAACTAAACTTACACTTTTTTTAAATTATGATTTTTTTATATGTAATCAAAAATTACAGCAATGTCTTAAACAGTTCAAGTATTTGATATTTTTGAAAGGCGTCCCTTTATTTAGGGGATCCAAAATTTTAAATATCAGCTGTAACCTAGTGGAATACGGTTAAAAGCATGTCATCAAAATTGACTAGAAGTGTATTATAATAAAACTACCATTTTTAAACTTTCAAACAAAACATACAGTTAAGTAGTCTATGAATAAAATATATTCTTTTGACACAGTTACATAGCTAAAATAAAATATTTCCTATAATTATTACCTAATAGAATTTAGATTGTTTTATTTTGTTTTTCATTATGTCTTAGTTACACTTGGTTAATTTAGCTATTCTTGTTAAAGTTATTTCCCTTGAATGAAATTTTGGTATTTTTTTTGCAAATGGGAGATAATTCTTTGTTTAACTTTACATTCATTTAAAATTTTTGCACCTTTTGTTGACCGCTTACTTATAAATACAACTATTACAAGTTATTATTTGCCATTGTAAAAATTATATAGAGCAGAAGTTCTAAACAAAAAAAGTTTAGTAGGTTTTTTATTAGCATTATTATGTTAAAAAACAAAAAGACATCAGTAGCCGTTGTATTTTGCAATACTTAATGTTAGTAGGCATGCATTATGAAATAGTGCAACAAATGCGTCTAAAATCGTCTTAGTCTCAAATTAATCATCTAATTTTTAAAGTGTCTTTTTCATAGTTTTCACTCTCTCCTAAAGGATTCACATATAACAATTGTAGGCTGGAATCTATAACATTTATAACCTTTTATTTTTCAAAAAAAAATCGTTACATAAACAAACAATATAGACATTTTACAATTATAACTAAAGACATTCAAGCTAGAAACAGGTAAGTTCCGTTCTGTAACTCACCTTTGGAGATCTGAAGAGAGCCCAACACTACAAGAACTGTGGTTTTCTTTTCAGTGTTTTTTCTTCCGGAAAGGGGGGGGGGGGGTAAGCACTTAAAATTTTCTAAGTGGGGAGGGGGGAGGCGGACTATGTCGTAAAGTACAAAGTACACTCGCGGACTTAGCAACAATTTCTATATAATGTGATTACTCTTCCACGCTGGAATTGAACGAGTTGGTTCAAACTTTTGCGACGAAGGAGCCAAGTAAAATTGTATTTTTATGTGTATTTATAACGTGTATGCAATTGATACTAAATTATAATGTCACTTTTAATTAATTGTTTTCTTACACATAACTTTTTGCAATTCATTTGTGTGATAGGGGGCGTTTTAATAAGTTTTGCCTTGGGCGCTAAATAA